GTGGGAAAGGAAGGCTGAGGGAACCGTCTGGCCTTTGTGGGAGTCTGACTGCAGGTGGCCAGGTAGCCAGTCCTCAGCCTGGCCTGGCCAGCTGGAAGCTTGTGCTCCAGCCACCTTTCTTTCCCTGTCTGGGGCCGGCCAGCATGGCTGGTTTTGACCCTTTTGTTACCTGTTGACTTAATCCTGCTTAAAAAGCTTGTCCTTAATAGGTAAAGGACATCTGCTTTTTGTTCCTTTTACATTTTTAGAGGGCTCCATTCAACTTGCTGCTGTATACAAAAATAATAATACAGTGAGGAAGCTGCTCAGTTCCAATTAAAAAACAAGTGTCCCCAGCTTAGGCCTCTGCTCAGACTACATCCTCATGCAGCCTTCCCTGCTCTCTTCTGCTTCAAGTGACCCTGGCTCTTTTTCCAGCCTTCTACCTAACTCTATTTTCATTTCATAGGGTTTTCACTACCTGACATTATTAGATAGTCCCTGTCAAAGATACTGAGATACAGCCGAGTATCCCTTATCCAAAATGCTTGGGACCAGAAGCATTTGGGATTTCAGATATTCTTCAGGTTTTGGAATATTTGCAGTATACTGGGTGAGCATCCTACACCCCTCATACCTAGCATGTATCTGGCACCTGGTATACATTTAGCAGATATTTATTGCATGATTGATTAGCACCTCAGTGGATGAGTAAATGGCTGGCTGGAGGCCTGGCGAGCCTCGTGTGGTGGCAGGAGGTGAGGTGCTGGAGTGAGGAGCTGGGACGGGGCCTGGCAGATGTGTTCCCTGTCGTGGTGGCAGGCAAGTGAGGCAGAGCCCACGACCTCTGTTCCTTCTCGGGGAGATGCTGGAGAGGAACGGCTCAGCCACGCACCTCCAAACCACACCACGAGGGCCACGGCCTCTCCGGCTGAGCGCTGGCTCCATCAGACCATTCGCACATGTCCTGAAATGCAGCTCCGATCTAGACGTGCAAAACATACAAACCTCCTTACGCAAATTAAGATTTGAGTGTCATCAACTTCACAGTTGCAGCCATCGGTTCTAAAAATAGTCATTTTGTGTGATTTGAGGAAAAGATTAAGTTCGCAGACTTACAGCTGAGTTCTCCCCAGCAGACAGCAGCTGGTCAAACAAAAGCATGAGTCTGTGAAAGCTGCACGTGCGGCCCCTGTGCGTCCTGGGGTTCACTGGAACTGACGTTTGGGGTGTTTCTCTTCTGCCACTGCTCGTCCCGGTGGGTGGGGCTTCCTAGGGAGAGGGTGCTCTGGGCGGTGTGTGGGCACGCAGGCTGTGCCCAGCGGGGCTGAACCCAGAGGACGGACCCAGAGGACGGAGGGACCGAAATCGATAATTGTGAGGCATCCAGATCAAGATTAGCGTTGGTGAATGCCCCACACCCATGCCTGTGGGCATGTGCAGCCCCCTGTTTGACTCTTGTTCTTTCCAAAACGGCAGAGCATTTGTAGCGAGACTCGCATAGGCTGCAGTACCAGTAAACAGCACAAGAAAAAGTAGCACCACCTGGTAATGTGATTTTAAAAAAGAAAGATGACTTAATAGAAAGGGACTTTCTATGGCCTTATGCAGACTTACAGGCCCTGAGAGGGCATGGCCCTGTCGCCTGGCCTCTGACTAAATGGTCTTCATTTTCGCAGCCATTCGTTTTCCCCACATCAGTGATAACTTTACCATCTTCATACAACAGGGGCCATTTTCATTATCTGTCATTTCTTCTCCATTTTCCCAATACAGCTGTAAAAATTATTGTGGCAAAGGTACCAGCATTTATTTTGCTACTTTACCATCTTATATGGACTTTATACTATAAAAACTAAATCAAATCAGTGTATCCGCCTGCCGAATAAACTATCACTGACTTGGACAAGTAAGTGAGTGTTGCACCCCAAATTAATTATTGTGAATTCCTGCTGGTATTCTTGTCCTGCTCTTAGGAGAGGGGATTTCCTGGTAATGTTGCTCCAGATAATTATTCCTTTGAGACCCTGCAGGTACCACTTCTCCAGGCTAAATAATTTCATCTCTTTTCTCCTGGGTACTAGTTTTCATTCCTTTAACCTTCCAAGTCCTCTCACCCCTACTTGGCTGAGAATTCTGTCTGTATCAGTGTGATGCTGGTTTGAAGTAGCACCACCCCCCGCCCCTTCCATGTACGCTGTTCAGTGTTCATCTGACAACTCTACCTTGCTGATCACCTGTGGCTTCTTCTCTGCCACGATGAGTCATCCAGGTCAGTATTCATTTGCCATATGCAGCCCATTTCTTCTCTTGTCTACTTGCCTTTTCTGTAGATATGTTTGCTTAGTTTCTGAGTAAAATAGCCTTGACCAAATGGACAAGGGAGAATTTGGGTTCATTACTTTGTTACTGACAGGTAGTTAAATTTTTCAGTGGGGCGTTACATAGTCTCTAGGCTGTTGTATCGACATTATGACACTTCAGAGAGGCAGCACCTTGGAGTAAGATAAGTACCATGGAGCTGGGGTTAGGGGGCAAGACCACAGCTTTTCTGCCAGTGACTAGCTGTGAGGAGGCTACCTAGCCTCTCTTAGCCTCGTGTGTTAAATGAGAATAATGATACCTGTGCTATAGAGTTAAGAGGATCGAGTGAGGTAATATATGTGAGCACTTATTGTGCTCCTGGAATGTAGTAAATTTTTCAGACATGGTTATTTTTGTCATGATGGGTGGTGATTATACATGTAAATGTCACAGATGATTTTCATCCAGTCTGAAAGTCTGCATAAGTGGTTTAAGTTCTTGGTGCAAAGGTGTAAGAGATATACATACTTACAATGATAATTTTATATAAAATATATTGCCACCTGCTCTGCAGAGTTTAGTGTTTCCTCAAAAATAAGACCTACCCATAAAATAAGCCCTAGCAGGATTTCTAAGCATTTGCGCAATATAAGCCCTACCCCGAAAATAATACCCAGCGATGGGCGTGGCTACGCAGCATATCTGCACAACCCATGCATTTTGTCACAGAGCGGTAAAGAAGATGAGCAGCCCTTCTCATCTGCCCCATCGTGACAGCTACTATCCCAGAGGTGACCGGAAAGGTGCAGGCAACCCCAACAACAAGGTCGGCTCCCCCTGGCAGGTCCCGGCCATCCTGTGCGTGCTGCAAGCTGAGCCTTTGAGGGGAAAATAACACATCCCCTGAAAATAAGCCCTAGGGTGTCTTCTTGAGGAAAAATAAATATAAGACCCTGTCTTATTTTCAGGGAAACACGGTAGTTACTATGAAAAACAGAACTTGGAGGACGGAGCAGGAGGATAAATCTAGAGTGTCTGAGTTGTAACCATTGGCAGAGCAGGTAGCGGGGCTGAAGAGAAGTAGAAAATCAGAGGAAGGAAGTGTCTGGTGTTCTGTAGCCAGCAGGAACCAGTCAGGTTGTGCTGATTGGAAACTGCTTTTCATGACTTGAGCCCTGAGTTGTGAATATTGTCTTAGGGGTCCAGGGATAAAGGGCCAGCAGTGTACCTTTAGGATGAAGCATGATTTGGCTACTAACAGAGCCTCTGTCCTATCCTGCACTCCTGGGGGCTGATCATACCAGAGAAATTTTTGTGTGTATTTTTTAATGTGTTAGTCTGCCCTATCTTCAGCGGTGATTATGCCCTGCCCTAAATTTACAGGCCCCTTCTATGGGGTCTGCCCTCTGTGTGGGTCGCCTCATAAGAAGGCCCATCTGGGAAGTGTTCCAGAAGCCCCCATACTTCATTGCATATTCCCTTGCTGACAAACACATGGTGCTCCTTGGGGGCTGTGAGTATTGTCCCATCTTGTGGCTGCCTAGCCTCACATGGTAGAAATGGAAGATGAGTTATCTTCAGCCTTGAATTTTGCTTTGAAGTTGAAACCAGGATTAGTTGACCCTAGAAGCTATTTTAAGGAAGTGTCTTCCTGTGTTTTTTTTATCTGGATGTTTGTCACTAAAGTGTTGTGAAAATTCCCTTCCTGTCTGTCATTTATATAAAAGATCTGGTATTCCCACTTCTGATCTTTGAAATCCCTCAAGACCTCATTAAATTAGTGTTCCATCTGCCTGGATCGGAATGAACAAATCTCTCACTGCTTCTCCATCACAGCCCTTCACCTCTTCCTTTCTTCCTTCTCTAGATGACACCCCCGAGCTTTGGATTTTTTTTAGCACAAGAAGTTTCTGACTTGTGTATTTGGATTTCAGCCTGCCTTTTCAAAAAACACGATGGCCACGACTGTAGTGAGGTCACCACAGGAACTATGTTTCCCCCTCTCTCCCTTTGAGAGAGCTTTCCGTCTTCCTTCCCTGCCCCGCCCATGCCGAGGGTAGCTGAATGTCAGGTGACGCCATACCTCTGGGCTGTAGCCTGTGATGGGCCCAGAGAGACCGTGGCACTATCATTCCTTTAGTCCTCACAGTGCCTCTGTTGGAGTCCAGAGAAAAGTGGGAGGCTTCCAGAGGTTGTGGAACAGTCCCCAGGTCACACAGCTGGTGACCCCAAGTCCAGTGTTAATTTGACTCTAAAATGCTGCCTGTCAGGACAGAAGGGAAGGGCCATCTGGTCCACCTTCTCACACCTGCCCAAGCTTTGGGGACCACCACTGTGTAATTTGGGGATCCAGACACCCGGTGCATCAGTAAGGAACAGGGGCTACCCCAGGGTGATCCCCCTGCTGGTAAGAACATCACTCTGCAGAGCTAGGTCAGATTTCATGGCGCCAAGTTAAATGAGATAACGTGTGTAAAAGAGCACTATAGCACTGCTTCAGTGCTTTATTTGTGCTTTGGCCTGGGGATCTAACTGCTTTTTAATAAAAATACTGAATTTTCATACTATAGTATTTAACATTCTCTGCTGTGCTTTAAAAACCAATATTCTCAAAAGTCTCAACTCACTTTATTTTGCTTACGGCAAGCATGCGTTGTCTTATTTTGCTCACCACAAAGAGCGTGACGTAAGCATTGCCTTGTCTTCACTCCTGGCAGCGCCCCATCATCTCCATCTGCTGGGGCCACCGGGACTCACGGCTGCTGATGGCATCAGGACCGGCCCTGTACGTGGTACGTGTGGAACACCGGGTGTCCAGCCTGCAGCTGCTGTGCCAGCAGGCCATCGCCAGCACCCTGCGGGAGGACAAGGACGTCAGCAAGTTGGCCCTGCCCCCCCGCCTCTGTTCCTACCTCTCCACCGCCTTCATCCCCACCATCAAGGTAAAGCCCTGCAGCCCTCCCCTTCCTTCCCTCTCCTGGGCTGGCTCCCCGCTGCTCGCCAGGAGGAGAGCGGAGACAGGACGCAGGCAAGGGCTCCAGGGCAAGCACGGGGGCCCATCTGCTCCACTAGAGCACTGCGGGGCGGCCGTGTGTGGCTCTGCAGAGTCCTGCCACGTTCTCCCACACCTGCAGTCTGCCCCGAGCGTCCCTGTCAGTGTCCCTGCAAGATCTGCCTTGTGTGATGTACATTATCTTTCTCATGGCAAAGCCGAAATTCCCAGCTGGCCTCCTGTGTCATCCTAATGACAAAGGAATGAATGTTCATTTAGCATTTGCTATAGAGTATTGGCATTGCACCGAGTGCTTTATAAAAATACATCTTGTTCAATCCTGACTTCCTGGCAAATGCTGTCATTATTCCCACTTGAGAAAGCAGGAAACAAGTTCATAGAAGTTAAATAACTTGCTCTATACCTAGTTAGGGAATAGTGGGATGGGACCCACTCCTGATCTAGGGCTCGCTCCCAGCACTGTGCTCAGGAGGGGTGACCCTGCCCAGCACTGGCGTCAGTCGTCTTTTACACTGATGGGAACTTGAGAAACCAGTCTGTTTTCAGTGGTAGCGCACAGACTGGATCTGCCAGTGGCTATGCAAGTGTGGGTTCCCCTTAACCTCAGGCCCTCCCCACCTTGTTTCCTCTTTGTATTCTGTCACTTCTCTATATCAGACTGATTTGTTGGTTACTTTTCTCCTGAAACATCAGAGTTTTAGAATCTGTTGTGATTTTTTTTTTTTTTGAGTTGCCTTACAATATTGGTTCTACACCAGCTGTTCCCAACCTTGGTGTATTACATTGTATTAGAAAATACACGTGCCCCAGCCCACCCCCAGAGACTCCAGTTTAACTGTCTGAGGGGGGATCCTGGTTCAGGTATTTTTCAAAAGCTCCCAGGAGATTCTCCTTGCACACACAGCTGGGAATCACCGTTCCACGCCACGGAGTTAGCCGCGCCCGACCTCCCAGCCTGTGCTCCGTCAGAGGGACAGTGACGTTTCTAGCCGACCTGCCCCATGCCCACCCTCTCTTTCTCTCTCTCTCTCTGGAGTCCTAGCTCTTCCTTTTCTCCCCCTGTCCTGCCTCTAGCCCCCAATTCCAGACCCCAACAACATGCGAGACTTTGTCAGCTACCCCTCGGCTGGCAACGAGCGGCTGCACTGCACCATGAAGCGCACAGAGGACGACCCGGAGGTGGGCGGCCCGTGCTACACACTCTACCTGGAGTACCTGGGGGGGCTCGTGCCCATCCTCAAGGGGCGGCGCATCAGCAAGCTGCGGCCAGAGTTTGTCATCATGGACCCGCGGACAGATAGCAAATCAGGTGGGCCCCTCGCTGGCGGGACACGCTTTGTTCTTGTGCGGTTGTGGGCCTTATTCCTTGCAGCCATGTACAGGTGATGCCTGTTTATGAAATGTGAGCCTGTGCTGGCTAAGGTGCAACGTCCTGAAGCTACTGTGTTTCCAAATCCTATTTAAGTGACCAGTTCTCTAAACACACTTTCTGGCGGGTTTCTGTGATGTTCTGTAAGGCGGCAGGTAGTCGGGGCCGTGGGGGAAGGGAACGTCGGCTCTCAATCAAGGGGCAGCTGGCATGGCCTCACGGGAGTGAGAGGTTCCTCTTACAGTTATCAAGTATTCATTGAGTACCTTAATGTAATATTGAGATAATTGGAAAATAATAATGAGATATAGTTTCTGCTCTCCCAGAGTGGATGATATCATTACAATTTTCAAACCTTTAGCCTACTCCCCAGCCCCCTGCTTCTGCCCTCACTAATCCAGTATTAACTGCTTTATAGCTGGTCACCAGTGAAAATGTCTTGCTCATCCATAAAGATTCTGACATGATGAATCACCCCATCCTTCTGAAACCTCTCTCCAGTGCTGATTTCCATTGCTCAGTTAAGTATTCAGGCTGCTCACTGCACACCTCTCCGGGGGCCTAGACTGTGAGGCTCCAGAGGGGAGGGACTGTGCTCTTTTCTTTGTGCCACTTGGTGCTGGCCAGTGTCCAAGCCCATCAGTCCTGCCGGCTCGAACATTCTCCCCATGAAAGCTTCCCCGTCATCCACTGCAGGGATGAGCAGCACCATCTAGGGCCCTTTGCTGTGTCCTCCTCCACACACGTGGTCATCATGCCCCAGGCTCTGCCCCGCTGAGTCCTGAGGACCTGTGGGGAAAGAAGTGAGTCGTCTTGGTGGCCCCAGTGCCAGCGAGCACCTGACCTTGAAACAGCACTGGATTTGCTGCATTAGTTTTCAGTTCGTGCCTCCACTTTCTCACTCTCCTACCCATTAGACTGGCCTCTGCCTCTCTTTTCGTCCTTGAAGCCAGTGTGATCGCAGGGCACGTGGCTAGCCGTCATCCTAGCCTGCCCTGGACGGCTGCTTCGCCTCCCTCTGCTGTTCCCCTCTCCTTCGGACCCGCCACCACACTCTGCTGCTAGTGTTACTGGATGAAATCAAAAGCGGTAACTTTTGAACTTTCCAAAATTGGGTATTAGTCGGTTTTTCTGTCTTTCAACTCATGTAACAAGCTAGTACCAAGAAAAGAGAGAGCTAGTAGAAGAATTGGGGCTGGTAGGGAGACAGATGGAAAGGAGGGAGGGGGAAGACTCGGAAGGAAGGTGCAGTGAGAAAAACAGAACAGAGAGGAGTGAACATTAACTTAGGAGGAAAACCTACCTTCAGGGAAAGAGAGAAGAAAAGAGCCAGCGATGGTTAGAGGTGACTGGGCCGGGGTCCGTGGGGCAGGCCCTGAGCCCGAGTGTGCAGCTCGAGTCTTGGCTAGTGTCAGCGCCCTCAGGGCCCCCCTGGATGCGGCTGTGCAGAGTCTGTGCCTAGAGCCAATGCGGAAAATGAGTGGGAGCTTGTGTGTTCCCCGTGTGCGTGAATCGCCCCTGACAGTGTGCTGCGGGCGCCAAGGCTGCGCTGGCCCCCGCTGCCCATGGGCCTGTTTGTCCCGCCTGTGCACATTTGTCAGCTCTCATCAAACACAAACTAACGCACTTGCTCACAGTCCTTTGGGGAATGACACGTTTTATTTTTATACTTTGTTTTATAATTAAAAGCATTAAAATTTGTAAAGCAAAGCAAATCAGCAAATATTTGGTCGCGCCTCCCTTGTGTGAAGTACTTGAGACTCCTAAGTATTAAGCAATACCAAGGAATCTGCTTTTAAGGAGTTTCTAAACCTTTTTGGGTGAAAAGAAAACTTCAGCACTTCAAGAGTTCAATTAAAAAGTCAAGATTTAAATACTTCATGATGAAAATAGAAGATATGTCACAAGCCTCAATATGACTAATTGCCAACTAAATGGTATATATTATATAAACTATTGTAGAGGAGGAAAATATTTCTGACATTGAAAAGCCAGAAATTTCTCATCACTAGAACCTGATTAACTCTTTCAGACCACCACATCATTGTTTCTCAAAAGGTGGTTCATGCCCCACCTCCATGTAGTCACCTGGGATGCTTATTTAAATCCAGCTTCCCAGGTCACCCCTTAGATTATGATTCATTAGGGCTGGGCTGAGGCCTAGAAACAGGTGACTCCATAGATTCTCCAGGTGATTTTTATCCACTAAAGTTTGCAATCCACTTTGGAAAATGTTGTTCAAGTGACTTGACAAATATGTTCTTCAAATTACCAGTGTGTATTTTTATACTAGATAGCACGAGTCCCAATAATTTTTTTTAGCAAAAATCCACAAATTTTCTAAAGCAGTCTTTAGTCAGAGCTTGCTATGAACTATATTGTATCCTCCAAAATTCATGTGTTAAAGGTCAAGCTCCCAATGTGACTATATTTGGAGATAGAGCTTTTAGGGAGAATTAAAGTTAAATGTGGTCCTAAAAGTGGGGTCCTATTCTGATAGTTTCTGGCCTTATGAGAAGAGGAAGACAAAGAGCTCTCTCTATTTCCAAGAGCATTCACCGAGGAAAGGCGATGTGAGGACAAAATGAGAAGGTGACTGTCTACAAGCCAGGAAGCCCTCACCAGGAACCAGCTATGATGATGCCCTAATCTTGGGACTTCTCGGCCTCCATAATTGTGAGAGCCAATTCCTTATAATAAATCTCTTTGGACCAGACACAGTGGCTCATGCCTGTAATCCTAGCACCCAGAGAGGCTGAGGCGGGAGGATTGCTTAAAGTCAGGATTTCGAGACCAGTGTGAGCAAGAGCAAGACCCCACTTCTACTAAAAATAGAAAATTAGCTAGGTGTTGTGGTACATACTTGTAGTGCCAGCTACTTGCGAGGCTGAGGCAGGAAGATCACTTGAACCCAGGAGTTTGAGGTCGCTGTCAGCTGTGATGACACCACAGCACTCTAGTCAGATAGAGCAAGACTCTGTTTCCAGAAAACAAAAAAATCAATCAGTCTCTTTATGCTAAAACAGACGCACATACGTTTATCATATTGGTCTGTTTCTCTGGAGATCCCTCACCAATACAGATTTGGTATCAGAAAGTGGGTGCTACTGTAACAAATACCTAAATGTGTGGAAGAAACTTTCTAACTGGCCAGTCGGGAGAGGCCGAAGGAGTTTTGAGGTGCATGCTAGAAATATCGTGAAGTCAGAGTCAGAACAGAGGAACGTGTTATTGAAAACTGGGGGAAAGATGATTCTTACAAAGTGGCAAAGAATATGGCTATTCCTCTAGTGTTTTGGGAAAAGTAGAACTTGCAAGCAATGAAATCAGATCTCTAAGGAGATTTCTAAGCAAAATATTGAAGGAACAGCTTGGTTGCCCCTGGCTGCTTATAATAAAATGAGAAAGGAGAGAGATGAATTAAAGAAGGACCTGTTAAGCTAAAAGAATCCAGAACTTGAAGACTTAGAAAAATTTCGGGCTATTTGTATCACAAAAAAATAAGAAAGCATGTTGGGAAAGTGAACACCAGAGAGGTGGCTGCACTGTCACTTATACAGAGCTGGTTCGAGCATACCAGCAGATGCACGGCCAGTTTGAACTGCAGTGGACAGGCACGAGATGAAACGAAGGGAGGCTGTTGCTCCTCTTGGGTTTGACAGGTCAGGATGATGAAGTGGCTTAGCTGTTAGCTTGCACTATCATTCAAGAGGAGAGAAAAGTGACCTTGAAGGTGATTTGGAGATGAGCTGGGCCACCTCTTCAGTTTCAACAGACCAAATGGCCTTCACCTGGAGCCTTGGGGGCAGAGCAGTAGGGGTGGGACCCCTGCCTAGAGCTGTGAGAGCAGTGCTGACACCTGCGTAGGCCTGGAGGCACCGCAGAGAAACAAAGGGGGCTATGAGATCTTAAGATCTAGTGGAATTTGCCTTGCCAGGTTTTAGATTTGCTTGGGACCCGTCAACCCTTTCTTACTTCTAGGTTCTCCCTTTTGCAATGGGAATGAACTTACCGGGTTTCACAGGTTCACAGATGGAGAGCATTTCTACTTGAGGATAAACCATACCTCAAGTCTCACCCATATCTAATTTAGATGATATTTAAATGAGATTCTTGACTTTACACTTCAGAATTGATGCTGGAATGAGTCATGGCTGTTGGGGTGGAATGAATGTATTTTGTATGGAGGAAGGTTCTGAATCCAGGAGGGACCAGAGGCAAAGTGCTATGTGCTGAGTTGTCCCTCCACCCCCAATCATATGTTGAAGTCCTCAGCCCCAATGTGACTGTATTTAGAGATAGGACTTTCAGGGGGGATTAAGGTTAAATGAAGCCATAAGGGTGGGATCCGAATCTGATAGCATTGGTGACCATATAAGAGGAAGAGAGAGATCTCTCTCTGCCCGTGCACGTGCACCAAGGAAAGGGCATGTGAGCACATGACAAGAAGGGGCTGTCTGTAGGCCAGGAAGAAAGACCTTACCAGATTCTGACCATGCTGACAGCCTAATCTTGGACTTTCAGCTTCCAGAACTATGAGAAAATCATTTCAGTTATTTAACCCACCCAGTCTATGGTATTTTGTTATGGTAGCCTGAGCAAACTAAGATAGAGCTTATGTTTAAAAGCTTTTAAAACAACTTTTAAAGAAAATTTTTTTATCTGACCTCAAATTATATTACAAGATTGTAGTAATCCAGAATAACATGGACTAGTATAAAAATAGACACATAGATCAATGGAACAAAATAGAGAACCCAGAAACAAAGCCATATATCTATAGCCAACTGATCTTTGATGAAGTTGACAAAAACATAAACTGAGAAAAGGATACCCTTTTTAATAAATGATGCTGGGAAATTGCATTGCCACATACAGAAGAATGAAACTTGATCCTTGTCTCTCACTGTATACAAAAATCAACTCAAGGTGGATCAAAGACTTAAATGTAAAACCTGAAACTATAGACAGGGCACAGTGGCTCACCTGTAATCCCAGCACTTTGGGAGGCTGAGGTGGGAGGATCACTTAAGGCCCAGAGTTCAAGGATATAGTGGGTGTAATCATGCCACTGCACTGCAGCCTGGGCAACAGAGACCCTGTCTCTTTAAAAAAAAATTCTTGGAGGAAAAAAAGGTTGGGGAATTTTTTTTGGCCTTTGTTTTTTGGCCACCGGGGCCCTTTTTTTTTTAAAAAAAAAAATACTAGAAGAAAAAAAAGCTAGAAATTCTTCTGGACATTGGTCTAGGCAGAGAATTCATGATTAAGACCTCAAAAGCACAAGTAGCAAAAACAAAAATAGACAAATGGGATTTAATTAAACCAAAAAGCTTCTGCATAGAAATAATAGAGTGAACAGACAACCTGCAGAATGGGGGAAGATATTTGCAAGCTATGCATCCAACAGGGGACTGATATCTAGAATTTACAAGGAACTCAACAACAAACAAATAATCTCATTAAAAAGTAGGCAAAGGATGTGAATAGACAAAAAATGGCCAACAAGCATGTGAAAAAATGCTCAACATCACTAATCATCAGAGAAATGCAAATTAAAACCACAATAAGATATTATCTTACACCAGTCAGAATGGCTATTAATAAAACGTCAAAAAATAACAGATGTTTATGAGGATGTGGAGAAAAAGACTTATATGCTGTTGGTGGGAATGTAAATTAGAACAACCTCTATGAAAAAAAGTATGGAAATGTCTTGAACTAAAAATAGAACTACCATTGGATCCAGCAATACCATTTCTGGGTATCTACCCAAAGGGAAAGAAATCATTACATCCAAAAGATATCTGCACTTATATGTTGATCACAGCACTATTCACAAATAGCAAAGATAAGGAATCAACCTAAGCATTCATTAATGGATGATTAAAGAAAATGTGGTATGTATGTGTGGGTGTATATGTGTGCAATGGAATAGTATTCAGTTATTAAAAAAAAGAATGAAATTATGTCTTTTGCAACAACATGGATGGAACTGCAGGCCAGTATCTTAAGTGAAACAGTCAGAAACAGAAAGTCAAATACCACATGTTCTCACTTATAAGTGGGAGCTAAATAGTGTGCACACATGGACATAGAGTGTGGAATAATGGGGATTGGAGACTTTGAAGTGTGGGAAGAGGGTGAGGTGTGAGAAATTATTTAATGGGTGCCAGGTACATTATTCAGGTGTTGGCTATACTAAAAGCCCCGACTTCACCACTATGCGTTATATATCCATGTAACTAAACTGCACTTGTACTGTTTACATTTATACAGATTTTTTTAAAGATTTTTTTAATTCTAAAAAAGTATCTTAATTCAAGTTTCATATTTGGAAATCTTTCAACCCAGATGAAAGGAGTAGATTCTTAAAAACTGACAAAATGAGGACGCGAAGCCCCAGGCGTTATAGTTAAGCCTTTAGTTTTCAAAAAACAATCCCAACTTACATTTTTCTGTAATTTGGATGTTTGTTCCTGAATTCCATTATAAATTGATAGCACAGAATCTGTAGAAGTGCAGGGTACAGCCCAGCCACCACTCCAGCCTGGGTGTTGGTCTGAAGTAATGCACTGGATTTCTAGCTGTGTCAGAGCGGCAGCGCCTATACGTGTACTTACAACATGAACAAGCAGGACTCGGGGCGTACGTTCAGAAAGCACCTTTTTCTTTTCTCATGCCACCCCTTAAGTCCTCATTCTTTCAGGAAGTATTTATCGAGTCCCCAGCACTGTTCCAGTCTCTGGAGTTACAGCAGAAGGCAGGACAGACAACTTTCTCTCCCTTATGGAGTTTACACTAGTTGGGGAAACAGACAATAAAACAGTAGTTGTGACTAAGGGGAAAAGCAAGATGGACATGGCACTAGAGGGGCTCTGGCATTGACGCATGGGTTGGGAGCTGAGTGGGCGATGTCTTACTGGATTTTCTTGGGTCAGGTCATGCATGCATGGGAGCGTTCTGCAGGCTTACACATGTGTTTGAATCATGGCTGAGCTTCCTTTGATCTAGTGACTCCTAAATTAAATAAGGCAAAGCATTGCTCGGGGCACGTGAATTAAGCCTTTTTATTTGATCAAACTCAAACGAATACCACTACAACTTGCTGGGTCCCTGAATCATGCCTTGTGATGCAGTAAGTAGTTGGGGGGGGGGGGCAAAGTGGGCACAGCCTTCTTCTCCAGCACCGTGGTGCCCAGCTGTTCTGCCTCAGAGAGGCCCTGTTCACAGATGTCACCTCCACATGCTCAGACACTTAGAGATGGGTCTGGATTAATAAATTAATCCTTTAAAGTGTCAGCACCCCTTTTGAACAGTAAAATCACTCCCATGCTATAAATTATTTCATTGTGATTAAATGATGTAGTTTTGTATTACCTAGTAAGGTTCTTGTAGTCTTAAGGGAATGAGGTTTTAGTTGGAAAAACAAAGTAATTTTGAAGAACTGGGATATTCACATTGAGGGTGGACCTGGAGCCAGGGGCCGTGTGGGCTTGGATTGTGAAGGAGTGTGATAGTGGGGGGCAGGGGGGAGGAGAGCAGCAGGGGAGAAGAAACTTCCAGGAGGATGAGCTGTGCTGTTTGGTGACTGCCTCGCTGTGTGTGCATCATTTGATCTGCTGCTGCGTGGCCAGTTGGCAAAGCTATAGTGCATGGCTTCCAGTACAGGGTACCCTTGGAGGAACCCAAAGCGACCAGTGAAAGTTCCTGCTGCACAGGTCTTCCACTGCTGCTCCAGGCAGGCAGGCAGGCAGGCAGGCAGGCAGGCAGGCAGCTCCACCGCTGGAATAGCAAGCCCCCACAGCCAGCCTCATGGCAATGCCAGGGGGGTGTCTGGCATTCCAGACATAAACTTCTGGGAGGCTTCAGGATGGACCTAGCTCTGTCAGGACTCTAGTCCAAGCAGGCCTGGCACCTACAAGGGCCTTCTCAGGTCAGCAGCAGATTTGCCAGAGAGTTGGGGAGTCAGCAAGCTCCTCACTCAGTCTGAGTTCTGGGGCTACCTGAAAGTCCACACAGACACAGGTGGACACCTGTGTGTCCTCAGGCAGGACAGCGCAGCCATTTTGGTTGCAGCTTTTGGCAGACAGTGACCAGCTATTTTGTATATCCCTAGAGGCATTACAATCCCATGTCCGGTTTTACAGCGGTAGAAATAATTGCCTACTTCTGCACAGAAAATATAATAGCATAAAAATGTAAAAGAAAAAAAACAAGCTTCTTTCTGTTTCAGTCTCTTGATTTAACTTCTTTCTGTTTCAACCTCTAGATTTAAACGATGGCCTGTAGAATCAGTCTGTCCTTTAGTTTATAGTAATGATCATCATTAGTGGCTAATTGACATCACTTCCCTTAAATTTGCTGGTTGGTGTCTTACCAGATGAAATCTATGGGAATAGCTTGATTTCCACTGTGATCGACAGCTGCAACTGCTCAGACTCCAGTGACATCGAGCTGAGTGACGACTGGGCTGCCAAGAAATCTCCCAAAATCTCCAGAGCTAGCAAATCACCCAAACTCCCAAGGTAATCTCAGTCTTCAGGGCATTTGCCCTTTTTGGTGCCTCTGGACATGTCTCTGTTTGTGCATACAACAAAATCCCAAGGAAATTGGTGTCAGAAGAGTACAGCAAGAGCAACATCCTTCTTCTGGAAGATTCTGCTTGGAATCTTTTTCTTTGTGGTTTGTTTGGTTTTTGTTTTTTTTTTTCCTTTGGGATAGAGAAAGATACCCAGTTGGAAGTTTGCTAACCCCTCAGAACTTCTCTAGGGTCAGCAATTATGGGTAGCATGGAGTGGCCCTATCTCCCTGGTTTGCTTGGTTTTTTTCTTCCAGTTTGAGAAAAGGAGAAAAAAGCTTTTACAGTGGCTATAATGTGTTGAAGAGAATGCCAAATTAAATGCCTATAATGCTATAATTGGGAAACTAATACTAAGCTTAAGAAAACATTGAATCCTAAAGATTTATCCTAAAGACAGAAGGCTGAGAGTAGATGGCAGGGCCCACAGTGTGGTGGGTGAGAACACACCTTCCCTCACCTGTATCTGTGGGAGTGAATGGCTGGGCTCACTGGGCACATCTTCACAAAGATCTCTTCTCGCATTAAGTCTGTGATGGTGTACAAAATTAAGGTATGAATTACATATAGATACACACATGCCCAAATCTTAAACACCTAGCCTGTCGTGCAGTTGGTGTACCTGTGTGTCCACACCCAGTTCAAGACCAAGCACGCCCATCATCCCTGCCATCCATACCCACTCCCTGTAAGTAATCACTCTTCTGACTTCTGTCACCACAGGTCAGTTTTACTTTTTCTCAAACTTCATATAAATGGAGTCAAATACTATGTACTCTTTATATCTGGCTTTTTTTTTTTTTTTTTTCTCAAAATGGTGATTTTGAGATTCGTTCATGTTACATATATCAGCAGTTTAGTTTTCTTTATTGTTCTGTGGTTTTCCATTGTAATATACTATAGTTTCTTTGTTTACAAATCAATGGATATTTGGTAGTTTCCAGATTGGAGCTATTATGAATAAATCCATTGTAAATATTCTTATATAGGTATTTTTGTTATGCACTCATTTCTTTTGGGTATACGGTTACAAAGGGAGTGGCAAGGTCATAGGTTAGATACATGCTGAACTTCATTGGAAACTGTCAAGCAGTATCCTAAGGTGGGTGTACCAACCTAAATTCCCGTGAGAGTTCCACCTGCTTCCATGGAACAATAATTTTACCTATTCTACTGAGTGTGTAGTGATATCTCGTTATAGTTTAATTCAAATATCTCCAGTAACTGACAATGCTTAGCACCTTTCTAAATGTTTATTGGCCATTTGATTATCTTTTGTGAAGTGTCTATTCAAAGTCTTTTGCCCATTTTGTAGGGTTGTCTTCTCTTACTGAGTTATAAGAGTTCTTTATGTCTTCTAGATTTGAATCCTTTATCAGATATATGTATTGCTATATAGTCCAGTATGGGAAATTCTTCTTTTACGGTTACTGCTTTTTGTGTCTTGTTAGGAAATTTTTGTCTACCCCAAGGCTGTGAAGACATTCTTCAGTCCCTCCGGCAGCTTTACAGCTTTTGCATTCATACTTACCTCTCAGTCTAACTTTATATCAGATCAGTTTCGTGTGTGCTGTGAATTAGGGATAAATGTTCATTTGTTTGTATACCGATATCCAGTTGCTTCAGCAATCTGATTGATTTTTTCATCTTTATTCTGAAGCTTGTCAAAATTGCACATAAAAATATGAACTTTTCTTCCACAGAAGTACAGAAAAGTTTTAACTTTTGCATTACTTTAAGCAGAGAGAACATTTAATACGTGCAACTGAGTCCTTCACCTGTGACTGTCCATTTAAGCTTGCTATATCTTCCTATGGCTTATTCTCCCCTCCTCTCTCTCCCCACTCGGAACCCTCCACACACCACAGCCAGGTTAAGTGTCCCAGCTCATGCCTTCAGTCAGCTCAAACCTCCATCCTCCCGTTCCTCAGGAGCCCAAACTTTCTTGTTCAGCACAAGCACTATAGTGAGCTTAATGCATTTTTTTCATAGAATTTTATAAACCTTACTGTATTTTTTTTTAATTTAGAAATAGGATCTTGTTCTGTCCCCCAGGCTGGAGTGCAGTGGCATGATCACAGCTCACTGCAGCCTCTAACTCTTGGGCTCAAGCGATCCTCCTGCCTCAGCCTCCCGAGTAGCTGGGACCACAGGCGCCATCATGCCTGGCTAATTTTTTATTTTTATTTTTTTGTACAGACAAGGTCTCACTGTGTTGCCCAGGCTGGTCTTGAACTCCTGGCCTCAAGCAATTCTCCTGCCTTGGCCTTCAAAGTGCTGGGAGTATAGGCATGGGCCACCACTCCCAGCCACCAGATTCACTTTTATAACATTCTCTTTGCAGTAGACTGGCATTGAACACATATGTCTCCATGTCATAAATAAAGGGACTTAGGAACAGAGATACAACATGGGATCAAAAGGCATTCATAAAAGTTTAGATACACTCATTTGACTTAAATATTGCAGGTGATGAAATGCTAGATAAAATAGATAAATCTCTTGAAATCCAAGCTGTCATGGAAGAAATTTTAAAAATCATCGTGGCCATAAGGTGAGAAATGACTCTTCCCAGCTGCCATTTTCCTGAGGACTGATTGTACAAACCCTGGCAGAAGAAATGTAGATATTTCCAAATGTACCATAAGTCAGTAGAAGACAGTTAATTCTATGGGGTTCTTTCAAATGACTCACTTGATCTTGTCTCAGTACATTTTAAAAATATATGTTATTTAACATACAGCTGTCATTCTGTCCTCATGTTCATAAAGCAAAAGCAGGGCAAGAATTCTGTTAAATTAGGGCCCTTGGCCACCGAGAACCCCAGGTCTGGGCTCACCATCCAGAAAGGGAAGAAGGAGGGGCTGCACCGCACATGTATGTCCCAACTGTCCCGCCACAGGCCCCTGACCCTGCCTGGCCTTGTCTCCGCAGGATCAGCATTGAGGCCCGCAAGTCTCCCAAGCTGCCCCGGGCTGCCCCGGAGATCTCCCGGTCTCCTCGGCTGCCCATGCGCAAGCCCTCCATCGGCTCACCCAGCCTGACGCGGAGAGAGTTTCCTTTTGAAGACATCACTCAGGTGGGAGCACACAGCTGCCACGCCACTCTGTCCTCCCCACCGGGGGCATGATGGTGGCTGAACACTCCGGGCCACCTTCTTTCCCAGCTGGGCTGCCCCTGCCCACCACCCCTGCTGCACACAGGCCCCCTGGGCTCTGGTCCACACCCTCACAGGCTGCCCCTGCTGCTGCAGGAATCGTCCTCAAGTGGAGCTCTGGGAGAGAGTGTCCACACTTCACCTATGCCCCCTCAAGCTCGTTCTGGTCCTGCGGTGACTCCCCAGTGTCTGCAGGGGAAAAACCCCTGGCCACAGGCCCCCACAGTCCACTCCTCACACCCAGTTCAGTTCACCACTGTTAGAAACTGGGTGTCCACGTGCTCTAGTTATCTTTGATCTTAAAATAGTAGAATGAGGTTGGGAATAGTATTTCTGCCTGTGCACACACTTGTAGCTTTTTAAGCAGTAAATGTTAATATTGCTACTAAGTGACCAGTAGAAAATATGGCAATAGATTGTGATTCTTCGTTGTTTTTTTTTTTTTCCCTTCACAGCACAACTATCTTGCTCAGGTCACGTCTAACATCTGGGGAACCAAATTTAAGATTGTGGGCTTGGCCGCCTTCCTGCCAACCAACCTCGGTGCAGGTGAGGCCTCCTCCTGTTCTCGCACATTCCCAGTTGGGACAGGTGAAAAAGTCCAGTTTCACCCATTGGCAGCTAAAAGTAGATGAACTTCCAAGATAGCAAAAGATTAGCGTGTATTTTACCACCAAAACTTGACTCTAGTAGATTTGTCATTCAAATTGTTTTTTTTGCCAGTGGCATTTTCATTTTTTGGTATAAGCCCTGACTTATAAAAACAATAGAAATATAGAAGTAACAGAAATAGCCAAAATCTCTATGAAAGCTCTCAGAGATTTCTAGGTATTTTGACTTCTAGGCCTTTTACTGTGGGCAGATTTTGGTACCAATGTTTAGGTTCTAGAGTCAAAAGAAACTCCTTCTGGAGAAAGTGGAGAAGAAGGCATCAAAGACTCTGAGAAGTAGGCTCTTGGTACAGTTCTTAGTGGTGAATGTCTGTAAGTTTTATTTCTCAGTACCAGATAAATACCCTGCCCAAGACAAGCTGAGACACAGAGGAAAACTGAACCAAAGGAGGAGTACAAAGCTGGGCCAGAACCCAGAATTTGCATTCTGATCTGTACTTTCTCCAGACGGCTAGTGATACCTTGTCGTGTTCACCTCAGAGACCACGAAGAATGGAAATTGCAGATCCTTTTCAAAGCAGCTCCTTCTGCAGGGCAGGCCTTGCCACCCAGCCCATCTTCCTTGGCTGCCTAATGTTCACACTGGACATGTCTTTCTGCAAGGCCAGCCCAGCCAGCTGGGGCCGTGGCCCTCCAGATGGAATGGGCTCTGTGGAACCTGCTAAAAATGGCTTTTGAAAAATTCTGAATCTGCCTGTAAGAGTTGTTTCATACATAAGTTCTTTACATAAATTATTCTTGCAAGTCAGATGTTTAAAGGACCTCTTGTTATGTATGCATCTCAGAAATTTGTTCACTAGTGCCATAGTTTGGATTTTTAACTTAGAGGTTTCTTACCTTAAAGAAAAAGAGGAATAAAAGTAAAACATAAAACTGACTTAAGAAATATTAACAACAGGCCGGGCGCGGTGGCTCACGCCTGTAATCCTAGCTCTCTGGGAGGCCGAGGCGGCGCGATTGCTTGAGGTCAGGAGTTCGAAACCAGCCTGAGCAAGAGCGAGACCCCGTCTCTACTATAAAATAGAAAGAAATTAATTGGCCAACTAATATATATAACAAAAATTAGCCGGCATGGTGGCGAATGTCTGTAGTCCCAGCTACTCAGGAGGCTGAGGCAGGAGGATTGCTTGAGCCAGGAGTTTGAGGTTGCTATGAGCTAGGCTGACGCCATGGCACTCACTCTAGCCTGGGCAACAAAGCGAGACTCTGTCTCAAAAAAAAAAAAAAAAAGAAATATTAACAACAGACTGTCCCCTTACATACATAATGCAGAGAAATGCCTTATATTTGGAAACCTGGAAACTCTCTGATGACCACAAAAGCCTTTTGTTTATTTATTTATCAGTGCCCTATTGATGGATATGGTTGATTTTTAGTAACCACTGTTTGAATATCATGAATATCATGATTATCCCACGTCAGTAAGCTAAGAGCTTAACCATCTATATATAGTAAATATTGAAAAAGGGAATGGAAGTGAGAATTTATGTAATGGATCGTTTCATTCTACCTTTATTTCTTGGATATTGAGTAGATCTTAAAATGAGAGGGCCTGTGAAGTCCACACTCCCCCATTGTGAGCAAGAGAGCCTAAGACGGGAGCTTTCTGTATGATGGCAGCGGAATTACTGTCCTCATCATTGACCTTTTTAAAGAGCATTCTGGTCCATGATGTTACTGTTGTCAAGCTGAAAGAATTTTCCACTTGATTCTGTTAGAAAAAGAAATTAACTCTTGAATTCTAGAAGGTATGTTAAATATGGTAATCCCTTTAAATCTTTTCCAAAAAAAACAATATATGACATTCTAGTGGACCTAAAAAGTGAGTGCTGTTCCCAGGTTGGATAAGTTGTTTCCTTCAATTAGAACCTGGCCCATGACATTTTTTTTTAAATATTTGTCATTTCTTAATTTTAAAAATACATAACAGATTCAAAATTTAAAAGATTCAATGGGGTGCAACAGTAAAACTTCTCTCATCCTCAGCACCAGCCACCTAACTTGCTTCCCTGGGGCAACTGATACTGTTTCCCCCCCGGGATGTTTTGTTTTATTGCCCTTTGTCAACCTGAATGACAAAGAGTAGCACGTTAATGCATCATTCTTAGTGTTTAACCCAGAATTTGTACTCCCTGTTATGGGCCAGAGAGATGAACACAGAGTAAGGCCTTTCCCACTGTCGGCAGGAAAAGCCGCCTTAGCCCTCACCAGTCCTCGCACCCGCCCCACAGAGATACTGCAACAGACGCCACCAGTGCACCGCCTTGATGCTGGCCACTTGGCCAGGAGGCCGTTGGAGTGACAGCCGTGGGGATGGAATCCGGCTGACCTGAACAAGCATAATGAAGAATCTGTGTGCCTGCCCATGCCACAGCAAAGAGTATTAAACACAAAGGAAAGTTGACAGGGCAGTTTCATCCTGATTTTAACCGACTATGAAACTTAAATTCAGATTCATTATTTTTATTTTCTTTCCTCCAAATATTTTAGTTGCAATCTAGGTTTTCTCGTAAATATTCCTGTTAATCAAATTAAATCTCAGTTTTAAAAAAACTATGTGGAAATTCCCTAAAAATCTCTATCCTGACCATTAAATTGAAATTGGAAGTCTGTGAAACAGGAATCCAGCCCTAAATGAAGGCAGCGTCCTGCTCCTCCTAGATGCCGTGTCACCGTCACTCCCAGCAGCTTTCAGACAGCTTCTGACTGCCCGAGGTTCCCCTGAGCACGGCACTCTGGTGATCACAACTATTTCCTCCAAATTATCCTCTGATTGCAAGCGAGGTTTTTAAAAAAGTATATTTTTCATACCCTAGCTCATTCTAAAAAAAAAGAATTTAAGTCTAAGATATGTTATTAACATTCAAAATTTGTAGTTTTATAGATAAACCTTAGCAAAGTGTCGGAGCTAGACCAAGAATTTGCAGTTACTGAATCCAGAACGGTGGCTGGGGCGGCCGCGTTGAGTGCCTGGGGAGGTGGGCAGCTCCTTCCAGACTCGGGCCTTGCCTGCACAGATCTGGCTTCGGGCGGCCGCAGAACCACAGCCCTCTATTTCTCTTCCTGGACTCTCCCGACACTTTGACTCTCCTCGGTGTGTCTCTATTAACTGTGCCCTTCCTCCTCCCCACCAGTAATCTATAAAACCAGCCTCCTGCATCTCCAGCCGCGGCAGATGACCATTTATCTCCCAGAAGTTCGGAAGATTTCCATGGACTATATTAATTTACCTGTCTTCAACCCAAATGTTTTCAGTGAAGATGAAGATGATTTACCAGGTGTGTTTGCGTGCATGAACTTGTCTGTCACAACCCTTCTTATGGGTTGTGCAACGTGGGCAGAGTGGGAAGTGGCTGAGGAGCACAGCCTGCTACCTGGGTTTAGAAAATTCCCACCTGCCTCGGTAAGGCTGACGGATACTATGACATGTCCCGGGAGTAAGGTCACAGATTGGCACCAGTTTGGGGAGGAGAGAAGCTACCAGAGTGTGGATGGTTAAGGTGACAGTGATGCCTTATGCTCATAGAACACTTCTAATATCACCTTCTATCTTTGCACTAACCCTCTTAGTCACATGCCCAGATACAGATAAGTTTGCAATACTAATCAAATACTAATACAAAATAAAAAGAGAACCAAAACCCGGTCTCATTGATCCAGGCCAGCCTTATCCTGTCAGTCCTGCTTAGAGAGCATCTCATTCCAGTGTGCTCAAACCTGCCCTGGCTCTAGGACACAAAGCCTTTACGTTTAAACACCTCTCTTCCACTGTGTAGTAATGGCTCAATGCATAGAGCCTTGGCCTGAGTTAAAGGTAAAGTCTAGTCCACGTCTTTTAAGTTCCAGTTGACAAATAGTAAATATCTGTATCTGTATCATCTTATGTTAATTTAAGTGTTTCCCAGTTGTGGGGAGGAGGAGTTCTTAAAGGGTGCCACTTTGATTAATAAATTAGAATGATTTCTAATTAGTCTGCCAATTAGTTGCATATAACCATTCTCAGTTACTCAAGGGTACTTGAATATCATTTGCCTTTCTAAGTAAAAGTCTACCTGTGATTTTATAGATACAGAGACTCCTCTGAGAGTACCTTGTTTCTGAGTCAGAGGAGTCCTGACATGGGCCACGACCTCTCCCAGAGCCAGATGTCCACGACCTGAGGGACTCTGGTCCCAGTTACGGGACATGGAGGGACACACATTCCAACTTGGGCTTTGCTCCTCACTTCCTCTTTGAACTTGAGGGAGGTGTTTACCTTCTCTCAGCCCACGCTTTTTACCTGGAAGGTGATGAAAGATGATTACTGTCCTTTCCAGCAGCAGCCATATTTGCATCTCTGGCGGGCTGCCTTTCCTGCGCAGGTGGAGCAAGTGTTCTAGACTAATGCAGTCCTGATGGGCAAGGTGTGCAGCCACATGAGTACCTGCAATTTGGTGAAGCCTTATACCTAGGCTTTATAGTGCATCCCCTGCGATTTCAGAATCTTTAGAACTTTTACACTTTCCCCTTAATGCCCTCCCCGTTTGCTTAGAATGCAACTAATATAGCTCTCTCTAATGTTCAGCTGTTGCTGCTGCTGTTTTTGTCTGTGGTTCCCAGTGAGAGGAGGGCTTAGATTTCATGATGGTGACGCGACAGAGGCTCTTCTCCTTTAAAGGGGAAAATACCTGCTGTCAATATTCCATACAGATGAGGGAACATCTGATGGAGGATCTGAACAGGAAATACAGGAGATGAGACAGGACCCAGACTTGTGCAGCCGGAGTGAAGTTATATCTTGCTTAGAGGACTCCAGGGAAAGGGGGAGGAGAGTCTATTATAGGCATCCAGAGCAGGCTGAACTTTTGATAAACTAATAGCTGGCTTCCTTTCATAGTTGTTTTGGTGAAAGCCCAGCCAGCCTTTACAATTAGCCCATTAAATCATATTTCCTGACCATGTCCTAGTTGCCACCTAGTACTTAGCACTGTGCTTCCGGCTTCTGGATTGGTGGTGGTTTTATCTGAGTGGGGAGCCACAGTGCCAGAGTGCTCAGTGGGCACCTAACATTGGGCAGTGCAGGCAGCAGCTCTGAGCACCTGTCTGTAGCTCACTGCTCAGATGTACACTGTTAAACTCCCGCCATGTGCAAATAGGATATGAGATATATATATATATGTGTGTGTATATGTGACTCTACCTTACATGCTGTTTGAAATGCTAAAAAGCAGATGAATTAGGAAATGATCTTTCACCTGATAGGCAGATTTGCTAGAAGATTCTTCTCATTGGTTTCTCTACTACCTTTACATAGTTCTATTTATAGAAACTTAATTTACATACACATTTCAAATACACATCTGTCACACGACACTTCTCACACTAGCCAGCTCACAGTCATGGATGAGCCTCCTCGGAAGCATAGGCATCGTGAGTCTGCAGTGCGGTGTCATGCTGCTCCGTTGCCCTCTTCTTGCATAAAAGGATGGTGTTTTATGAATATTATCAATAAAGATTTCTTTAAACAATTATTTGTGATGTGCCATTGAGGCACATGGTGCCACATTCAGAAGGTTCAAAAGGAAGTTCACTGAAAAGCTCTGACAGCTCCCTTAGTTAGCAACAGCGGCCAGCAGGCTGCCCTGCAGAACCTACCTAACTTGTGTGACAGTCCTCCTTTCCCCAAGCAGACGCATCTCAATCTCCAGCAATTGCATTTTTTATGCAAAAGGACTGGATGAGACCAGATATTGCTTATCCTCACCCAATTCGTGGCAGTGTCTTGCAAGCAGTTTCTTTTTCTAATTTCCTTCCAGTGACCGGAGCATCTGGTGTCCCCGAGAGCAACCCACCTTGCACCGTGAACATCCCTATCGCACCGATCCACAGCTCAGCTCAGGCTATGTCCCCCACGCAGAGCATAGGGCTTGTGCAGTCCCTACTGGCCAATCAAAATGTGCAGCTGGATGTCCTGACCAACCAGACGACAGCCGTGGGGGCAGCAGAGCATGCAGGTGACAGTGCCACCCAGTACCCAGTTTCCAGCCGGTACTGCAATCCTGGCCAGGTGATTTTTGGAGGCGTGGAAATGGGCCGCATTGTTCCAAACCCCCCTCACCTGTCCCTGCCGCCACCACCACCACCGGGGCCCGTGCAGATGCCCACAGTGAGCCACGGAGACCGAGACCATGAGCACTTGCCAAAGTCAGCCAAGACCCTGAGGCCAGCGCCACAGCTGGCAGCTGAAGGGGATGCCGTGGCCTTTAGTGCCCCCCAGGAGGTCCAGGTGACAAAGATGAACCCTCCGCCCCCGTACCCAGGAACCATCCCTGCTGCCCCCACCACAGCAGCGCCCCCACCCCCTCTGCCGCCACCACAGCCTCCCGTGGACGTGTGCTTGAAGAAGAGCGACTTCTCCCTGTACCCCACGTCAGTGCATTACCAGACCCCTCTGGGCTACGAGAGGATCACCACCTTTGACAGCAGCGGCAACGTGGAGGAGGTGTGCCGGCCCCGCGCCCGGGTGCTGTGTTCCCAGAGCACCTACACCCTGCCTGGCCCGGGCAGCTCAGCCACCTTGAGGCTCACAGCCACCGAGAAGAAGATCCCTCAGCCCTGCACCAGTGCCACCCTGAACCGCCTGACCGTCCCTCGCTACTCCATCCCCACAGGGGACCCGCCCCCATATCCTGAAATTGCCAGCCAGCTGGCCCAGGGGCGGGCTGCGGTCCAGAGACCCGACAGCAGCCTTATCCACGCCACCCTGCGGAGGAACAACCGAGAGGCTGCGCTCAAGATGGCCCAGCTGGCCGACAGCCCGAGACCCCCCCTGCAGCCCCCCGCCAAGCCCAAGGGCGGGCCCGTGGGGGTGGTGGCGCAGCTCCCAGCTCGGCCCCCGCCTGCCCTGTACACTTGCAGCCAGTGCAGCAACGCAGGCCCGGGCTCGCAAGCCAGTGCGGCGCTGGCGCATGCCGTCAGCGCCTCCCCCCTGGCTTCCCAGTCCTCCTACAGCCTCCTGAGTCCCCCGGACAGCTCCCGCGACCGCACCGACTACGTCAACTCGGCCTTCACGGAGGACGAGGCCTTGGCCCAGCACTGTCCACTTGAGAAGCCCCTGAGGCACCCCCCACTGCCTGAAGCTGCTGTCACCTTGAAACGACCACCCCCTTACCAGTGGGACCCTGTGCTGGGTGAGGACATTTGGGTTCCTCAGGAAAGGACAGCACAGACTGTAGTGCCCAACCCCTTAAAACTGTCTCCTCTGATGCTAGGTCAGGGCCAGCACCTGGACGTGTCCCGAGTGCCCTTCGTCTCCCCCAAGTCCCCTGCCAGCCCCACTGCCACTTTCCAAACAGGCTATGGGATGGGAGTGCCATATCCAGGAAGCTATAACAACCCCCCTCTGCCTGGAGCGCAGGTTCCCTGCTCTCCCAAAGATGCCCTGTCCCCACCACCATTTGCACAACAGGAGCCTGCTGTCGTCCTCCAGCCCGTGTACCCGCCCAGCCTCTCCTATTGCACCTTGCCCCCCATGTACCCGGGAAGCAGCACGTGCTCCAGTTTACAGCTGCCACCTGTCGCCTTGCACCCGTGGAGTTCCTACAGCGCTTGCCCGCCTGTGCAGAACCCCCAGAGCACCCTGCCCCCCAAGCCACACTTGGTGGTAGAGAAGCCCCTTGTGTCCCCGCCACCCCCAGACCTCCAAAGCCACATGGGCACAGAAGTGATGGTAGAGACCACCGACAACTTCCAGGAAGTCCTCTCTCTGACAGAAAGCCCAGTCCCTCAGCGGACAGAAAAATTTGGAAAGAAGAACCGGAAGCGCCTGGACAGCCGTGCAGAGGAAGGAAACGTTCAGGCCATCACTGAGGGCAAAGTGAAGAAGGAGTCCAGGACTTTGAGTGACTTTAATTCCCTTATTTCTAGCCCCCGCCTGGGGAGAGAGAAGAAGAAGGTGAAAAGTCAGAAAGACCAGCTGAAGTCAAAGAAGTTGAATAAGACGAACGAGTTCCAGGACAGCTCCGAGAGCGAGCCCGAGCTGTTCATCAGCGGGGATGAGCTGATGAACCAGAGCCAGGGCAGCAAGAAGGGCTGGAAGAACAAGAGGACGCCCCGGGCCGCCAGCGAGCTGGAGGAGTCGCGGTGCCGGCGCGCCAGCGAGAAGGAGGACGGGCGGCTGGGCAGCCAGGGCTTCGTGTACGTGATGGCCAACAAGCAGCCCCTGTGGAACGAGGCCACCCAGGTGTACCAGCTGGACTTCGGAGGGCGGGTGACCCAGGAGTCGGCCAAGAACTTCCAGATCGAGTTGGAGGGGCGGCAGGTAAGACCCACAGGGGCTGGTGCCCTGTCAGTGCCCTGACCTTCGAGGAGCAATCTTCAAAAGGCCAAATGGGAAATGCAGAAAACAACTAGTATCTCTTAGGTGGAGCCAGGTGGGGTTATGATTTTCAGGGTAGCCACTGCTATCCTGTACTTATTTTCAATCTAAGCAATGTGCCTCCTGAGTATTTAAAGTAATGGTTCTACCAGACCTAGCAGGAAAGCTGCCTACCCCGTCTGACCACCCCTAGAGGCTGGGGTGTCCAACTCTTTTTTTCTAGTATTTGCCATCATGTTCGTAGAGAACATTATACTCTATTCACTGACTTTTCTGCTTTTGGCGTGACAGAGTGACTTCTTCCTGGGGAATGTGAGGGCCAGTTCTCCCCGCCCTGTCCCCCACCACGTGCACCCTCTGACCTGCCCGCTCCGCCCTTCCCAGGTGACTCCATGGTCACTGGCTGCCTCATGCTGGTAAACAGGAGTCCCAGCTGCCGTGGGTTGTGCTTTGTTAAACTTGCATTTTTGTGTAGTTTTTTCCCTAGAGTATTGCCTGGTTTTTGTTTGCTTATTTCTCTGTGTATTTAAGTCACTCCCCAAGTCCCTGAGGGAACTAAATCTCCGTGTGTTTGCTGGCTCTCCTGCTGCAGCCTGGGATGGCCACGCTAGTCCTGCTGTAGTCCCCTCTTCACCATCCCACAGGTTCCTTTCTCCTCTTGCATCTAAATTCACATTTTTGTTAATTTCCCTGCTGTGTGCCTGGCAGTCCTCCAAGCCGGGGGTCGGCACACTGGCCCAAGACCAGCCTGGCCTGCTGCTTCTCTTTGTAAATAAAGTTTTATTGGAACACGGCCACTTAACCCAGTTGCTTAGTATCGTCCCCCACTGCCGCTTCCGTCCAGCAGCAGCAGGGAGAGTAGTCGTGGCGAAGACCGTATGACCCACAAACCCTAAAACATTTACCGTCAGCCCTTCACAGGACGTTTGTGGACCCCTGCTCTGGTGCTGGGACTGGGCAGCGAGGGACACAGAGAAAGCCCTGCCGCCGTGGTACCCACAGAGGCAGTGGGGGTGGAAACAGATGAGCGCGGCCCATGTGATAGGGTGAGGCACGGTGACCCCACAGGGAGTGGGCACAGCAAGTGGCAAGAATCCAAGGGAGCAGAGTGAGGTGGCGGAGCGTGGGGGAAGGCAGTGACAGGTGATGCTTCCCTTCCGAGGTCTCTTCTGGCCCATAGATGCTTCTTTCTTCTCTTCTTCCTTTCTTTCCTTGGTGAAGAAGCCACTTCATCTGGCCTGCAGAGTCCCCCACATTGGTGTCTCGCTCAGTCTCTCCATCGCGTTGTTTCATGTGGTCCTCGTCCCCTGATTTCCCACGGGCTTGTGACTAGACCTGGAAGCTCGGTGTGATTCAGAGTCACTTGTGTGGGCAGAAGCGTCTCACGGCTGCGCTGTCTGCTCCTGCCCGGGCCTCGGGCCTCGCAGGCCCGTGTCCTCTCTCCCGCCTTGCCCTCCTGTGACGTCTTTGTTTCCCCGCCCTCCGCCAGGTGATGCAGTTTGGACGGATTGACGGCAACGCCTACATCCTAGACTTCCAGGCCCCCTTCTCAGCCGTGCAGGCCTTCGCAGTTGCCCTGGCCAACGTGACGCAGCGCCTCAAGTGAAGAGCCTGGCGTGGGAGGAGAGGAGGGCAGAGGCCCGATTGGAGACGTCAGAGCGCCCGCACAGGCCCGGGAGCCGGGGGACCAGAAGACTGCAGCGAAGCTGGAAGGGCCTGTCATGTCCAAGGAGAGAGAGGGCACTGACCTTCCGCTGTCTTATTTGGGCTTCATTAAACTTCATGTCTTTCTTTCCTTATGCGGTAGAGTGGCATTTGGAAGCAAAGGTTGCAAGGCACCTGGTGTTCTTTCAGGAAATGCAGCTTGGCTGTGGTGACATTCTGCTGTGTTTGCTTATGTCAGTGACCGCGACAAGGGCCCTTCGGAACGAAGACAGACCGCCTTACAGCCTGCCGTGCTTTCAGACAGAGGGCGCACGCGTCATTGTGCTCCTCCACGACACCTAGCCTTTATTACTGCTCCATCACCACTAGGGTAAAAACAAAACATTTCTAAACAACACAACCAAAAATCCTGAAGGTACAGGTTCTCTTGGGGAAGGGGAGGGACAGCATTGTATTCACACATACTGTGTTATTCCCCAGAAAGTGACTTGATTAGCAAAGGGTATGTGAGCGAATGCGCTGTGTTTGACTAATAAAAGTAGGCTCTCTACAGGGGTGCTGTCACTAGGTATAAATGTGATGTGCTCGTTGGTGACATTGGGGAAGGGATGACGAGCGAGGAGGGAGCGGCACAGAGGGGCAGGCTCACACACAAGGACAGCTGGGCGACTGACTGTGGGACACAGTAGTACAAGGGCTACGCTCCTCATCTGAGGGTGTTTATGTCGAAGGACACCACTGGTTTCATCGTTTGTCCAAGTTCCGTAGATCAGCAATGATCACTCAGTGTGATTGAACGATCAGTGAATGATCAGACAGTGCAGTGCTGAGTCACTGGCCGAGAAACAGCCTCTATTCTCTCTGCCCCTTTTGTATTTTAATCTGGAACATGTTACTGTAAACATCTTTCCCATTAGGTATCACTGTTCTACACTTTCTCTTTTTGAAAGTATGGACAAGAGTTGATTTGAAACCACTCCTTTCCTCTTCTTGGCTACATTAAAATTCAGTTGACTAGAATTGTTTTCTATCAGATTAAAACTGTAACCAAAAGATTTTTAAGTATTGTGCCAGGGTATTAAAAGATAGGGTATGGTCCAATCTTTAACAAAAGTTTCATGATCTCTAAGGGAAAAAAAGAAGTTGTTTATTAACCATACAGAGTGTTTACTGAGGAGAGAAAACGTTAACGTTATAACACTTCAGGTAGCTGGTGGACCACACTTTAATTGCAAGAAGAAAAGTCTACCTAGTGTCTTGTTCCCGCTACCCCTCCTGAGAACACTGGGCCATATTCCAGCCCTGACAAGGCCTGTGGCTGTTTCAGTTATTCATTCTTGTGGTGTTTAGGGCAGGGCCAAAAAGGAGTTATCTCCTGGCTTTGGGTCCTGAATTTGGATTTTATTTGAAAACAGACAAGTGGAAAATACCACAAAAGGTATTTTCAAATTTAAAAGTTTTGTTAATTCCCTGTTTTTGTTTAAAAATTATAAAAGAAACTGGGCCATTTCTTTCCTAGAGCAAGGTGACATTACTCACCATTCTCTCTGAACCCCAAAGAAATACCAACCATGTTTTTAAATATGGTGACAGATATCTCCCAGCTAACACTTGAGTTTCTCATTTTGTATTTAAAAGTATCGGGCCTGGTTTTTTAGTGGGTACATTCTTCCAGAAAGCGTTTAGCAGTGTATTTAGAATTATCTAGTTCTTTTATGTGAGTTTCTGTTGCTTGTTACGGTGTCTCAGTGCTTATTATTAGTTGTGCAATAATAGTTATAGCCTATTTCTAAAATAATTTAAATGCAATTCTCCTGTTTTATTGTCTATGAGGTAATTATTTATCTTGCTTTTCATAGGGTTCTTAGGAATTATTTTGTTACTATGTATTAGTGAGTTATGCTCATTTTATTATTTATTTAGAAAAATAGTATCTTTGTAATAACTTACTTGGTAGCAGTATATTTTGCTGCAAGAAATAAAGAGGATATGATAGCAAGATTTTTTTGCTGGACGATTTGTAACTTTTTCTAATTGGGAAAAAAAATCCTATTTGTTTAAAAATAATTTTTTTTTATATTTTGTAATATTGATTATATATGAAGAATATTTCTTTGAGATAACATATCCTAAAATAATATGTTCCCTTCTTTTGAATATTTTATTTTTAGTTAAAAATAAAGGTTGATATGAAATGAGGAAGGGAGACCTATTAGGATGAGAGTAGCAAAGGAAGGAACTAGTAATAAGTTTCACTTTTTAAATTCTGATTGGTTTGTGAGATATAAAGACTACAAAAGCTTATATTTTAGAACTTTTCTTAATGAGAGCAGACATAAGGGGAAGACCTTGGAATGAAACCACAAATACATGTAAGAAGAAAAAGTGGATATTTGTAGCAAATAATTAACTTTCTAAATTCTTAGCTTACTCCCCAAGGCATTTTGCGCACACGGAGACACGGGCTTCCTGCCTCGCTGTGTGGCAGCCCCACTGTTGTGGCAGCCCCACTGTGTGGCAGCCCCGCTGTGTGGCAGGCCCGCTGTGTGGCAGCCCCGCTGTGTGGCAGCCCCGCGGTGCACAGTAGCGCCTGTGTCTGCTTTGCTGCCAGGGCCCAAAGGAGGAGTCACTCTCACTCACCAAATCAGACTTCAGCTGACGGCCCTGCAAGTTGTCACATGGTGTCTTTTAAGTTAATGGCAGTTTTACTTATTTAAAAAAAAAAATGCTTCCATTCAATCTCTGTTGGTTAAAGTTAGTACTTTAAACAGAATTCTAAGCACTTCATGTTTATTAGTAGCAATTTATAAATATCAAGATACCTCATCGAATCCCTAAATTTAAAAATACTATTCCAGTAAAAAGCCAACTACAAAAAGAATTCATGACTTTTTGAGGGAAGCAGTGTATTAACAAACATAAAACCCAGTTTTGAATTTATCTCTAACCATCCAACCAAAGGCACGTTTGTGTACAGTATATACCCATTGAATGTACGGACCGAGAAAAACTGGGGCCAAAGAAGCAGGACGCTCTCTAAGCTCTAGTGCAGTGTAAGTCAAAGGACTCACACAGGTTGTGTTTTCCTCCGTAGCCGTTGTTCCCACATCAGCTGTCCTGCAAGGGCTTGTAAAAACATGCCATGCTTGTCTTGTAATCACAGCAGAAAGTTAGGAGACTCCCGGGGTCAAGCCTGCTCTGCCACAAAGCTGAGGGTGACCTTGGGCAAGTCCCTGGGGCTGGCCAGACTTCCATTTGTCTGTCTGTACGATGAAAGAAACAGCCTGGACAATCTTCTAAACTCCCTTCCAGCTATAACAGCCTCAGAGCTCAGAATGGAGCAGTTTCATCATTCCACTTTGCAAATGTGGAAAGTATGTTTCAAAACATTGCCTTTGTGTAGACATGTATTTCTTTTCCTGTGTTAATGAGCTATCTACTGAATATAAACCAGTGCATTTAAAATAATATCTTTAAAAAGTTCACTTCTAAATGCATTTGGAATCATGTCCTCACAGAATTGCACCAAAGCACTGATTCCAGGTAAGATAGGAGCGTCTATATGAGTGTGCCCTGCTCAAGTGATGTCCTTGAGAACAGCCCTAAAATAAGTCACCACCTGCCCCCAAAACCACAAAGTGAGTTCAAAAAAGAACAAAGGAAAATATGTCTAGGCTGACTTGAATTATTGAGTGTGCTGTGCCGCATGACACTATCTTCACGTTCAAAGGGTTTCTGGAAATGGAAAGTTTTCACCCAGCAACTATGAGAAAGGAACCCGTGTGTCCCTGTGTGGGCCATGTATCACTTGGCCAAGTCAATGGTTGTAAACAAAGTTAGTTGAGACAAAATGTGTCAAAACTGTCATTTGAGTTCCTAGGATGTTTGTAATAGCACACAACTCAAAACTCTTCACGTTTGTGGATTTCCTTTATCTCTGGCTGATAAAACTATCAAGGGTTGTGGCTTATTTTATTATTATTTTCTTTGGCTTTGTGCAATTTTCTTGTAACTTTACTCGTATCTACATTTTCTGTTTACAGTTCTTTTTAAGGGGAGGGGTAGGGTCCTAAGATCTCGTTTATTGTAGATAAAAAAATTTTTTTCGTGTTGTAGAAAAGCATGGGTTATGCGTTTGACTGAAAAAGGCACTGTATTATTTACCAAAGGGGTATTGTTTTTGCATTTTTTTATAAATGCATTATTTTGGTACTGTAAATTTGGACATAATTTCTGAGTTTATTACTACTGGCATTTTCTTTTTCCTTTTTTTTTTTTTCTTTTAACAGTAAGTGGGCAATGCAGGTGCATAGGTCCCAGACCAAACAAGACCACCAGCATGTTCTTGTCCAAACCTGGGGAATGGTGTGCACTGCTTTGTGCAGCTCAGTTCCTCTAATGTTTTTAATTCAGCATCCTGCTTTGTTTTACTTTCCAAGCAAGATATGTTGAGATTCCCAATTGCATTTTAATAAGCTCACCCTTATTTGCCTCTCTTATGTATTTTGTGTATTAGATTGTGCAGGAGGCTTCTAGAAGGCATTAATGGTTTGCATTCAAAATGTGGTTTGTCCAAATTATTTTCTGTCTTTATTATTGAGATGGATTAATCTTATTTTTTTCTTGATGATTTGAAGTTGTAAGAGTTGTCCAGCTATTGCTTAATAAAATTTTACAGATCAAAACAATCAATTGTGTGCAGAATTCAGATGTGGGTCTTGAGTCCTCTGAGAAGAAAACGCCTCACTTTTTTGGCATGACCTACTAACCCTCCAGTTGCTTCTCGGGTCCCTGGGCAACTGCCTGCAGTGACTCGAGCCCCTAAGATCCTAGTCATCATGTTACCCATTTTGAGAGGTCAGAGATTGGGCTTTTTAATGAGTTGATTTGAGTTTGTTGTTGCTTTTTCTTGTCTTTTCTAAAAAGGACTTAAGAATGCATCTGTATAGCTCCTATCAGATCAGAGGTGCTAAATAACATCTTTGTAGGAAACTTAAAGCCAGGTTTTCAACAATTCAACTGTAAGTGCTCATGTAAGTATTAATTATTGTTACTGGTGAGTGTTCAGTGAGCCTCCTCCCTCTGCCCTGGAGTTCCCTATGGCTATGGCAGGTGGGAAGGGGCGCATGGGACGTCTACCTGTGAGCAGTGCAGTACGTGTGCATGCTTACAGAACTACCCTTTTAGGGCTTTATTTTAAAGAATAGGGAATCAATTTAGCTCTCCTGCCCTCACCCCAAAAACTCAGTGCTTAGAAGAGAAATGACCACCTCATTGAGATCACATTGCAGTTTTCCAAGGGTGCAGAGATACTAACCACAGCTAAATCTCCTAACTCCATTATGAAGTAGATGCTTTGCCTCCCTTTCTTTCAGAAGAAAATTGGAGCACTGAGAAGTTAAAATGATTGCTGGATTCTATAGACAAAAGCCAATCCTGAAATAGAACCCGAGATTTCTGGGTTACATTAATGAATAGACCTAGTTTATTCCCGGACTTCTCACTCTAGTGTTTAGTAATGATTTGCCTGTAATGAGCTATGAGCTCCTTACACTTAGCTATCTTCTGTGAAAAGAGCTATTACAGATGGGCCACCTGTGCCCTCGTCAGGTGAGCTCATCCACTCTACAAAGGGGATTTGAGTGCCTGGCACTGCATTTTGAAGAGTATTGGCTCACAGGCTGCCTTACCCAGCAGGCATCACCGAGGAGCAGGTCTGTGTGGGTTGATTTCCCCGCACATCTCAGAGTTGCTCGATGCACTAAAGAATATGAAGCCATCCACAGCAGGTTAATTTCTTGAATCTACTTACAGTTCCTGTTAGAATGACAGCGCCAGGCCGGGCATGGTGGCTTGCACCTCAGTGACATAGATCCCATCTCTACAAAAAAAAAAAAAAAATTAGGGGGGTATGATGGTACATACCGTGTTTCCCCAAAAATAAGACCTACCCATAAAATAAGCCCTAGCAGCATCTTGCGCAATATAAGCCCTACCCTGAAAATAAAATCTAGTGATGAGGTGACCAGAGGTGACCGGAAAGGTGCGGGCAGCCCCACCAACAAGGTCGGCTTCCCCAGTCAGGTCCCGGCCATCCTGTGCAGGTGCTGCAAGCTGAGGCTTTGAGTTCAATAACACTTCCCCTGAAAATAAGCCCTAGGGTGTCTTCTTGAGGAAAAATAAATATAAGACCCTGTCTTATTTTCAGGGAAACATGGTACCTGTAGTCCCAGCTCCTTGGGGAGGCTGAGGCAAGACGATTGCTTGGGCCCAGGAGTGTGAGGTTGCAGTGGGCTATGATGATACCACTGCACTCTATCCAAGGTGACAGACGGAGACCCTGCCTCAAAAAAGAAAAAAAAAAAAGCTTCAAATAAAGACAGTGCATGCATGGAACAGGGCCCCGGCAGGAACAGGGCGTTAGGTGTGGGAACTGGTTCTGCTGCATCCCTTCTGCTCTCCTCGTCCTGGATCTCCTACTTCCCACGTGGCTTCCCTCTGCAGGGAGTGTGTTCCTTGTGCTGTAGAACTGTGTCCCCAAACCCTGGGCCAGCCACAGACTGGTACCCCGGTCAGTGGCCTGTTAGGGACACAGCAGGAGGTGAGCAGAAAGCAAGGGAAGTTTCATCTGCATTTACAGCCGCTCCCGATCCCTCCATCACCGCCTGAGCTCCGCCTCCCCATCCCCAGGCTGTGGAAAACTTGTTTTCCCTGGTGCCAAAAAGGCTGGGACTGCTGCTGTGGGGGACATTCAGGCCACCTCCCTCCATGCTGCTCTTGAGTGGGGATGGGAACTGTCAATGAAATTTCAAGACCTTTTCGAACCTTGCTGTGGAGGCAAGGTGAAAGTTCTTTGGGAAATGATGGAACTATAAAAGAGAAATTAGGCTCGCCTCCCAGGCTGGTCGCTGCAGTTTGTGGGCAGAGTTCTGTTTTTATGGATGATATGGCCACTGTTCGTCTGTGTTCTGTCTCTCAGTTTAAGCAAATTTATAACTTTACTGACCCTCATCATTATAAGAATGAAACTCACCTACCCCCATGGACAAATAAATCAGTTGACACAAATAAGAATTTCTTACAATTGCACAAGTGTACTTTTGAGTATACAAGAGGTTACAGGTGCTGTCCAGAAACCATGCTCCAGTCTAACTTGACCTTGCAGAAACGGAAAGGACGTGCCCAACTCTAGACGTGTTCAGAAACAATCGTAACCGGGAAACGCTTTGGAAGTAATTCGAGAAAAATAATTATGAAATGCTCTGTGGGTCATATTCCACCTACAATCACATTTAATCACAAACCTCATTCTCACGTTACTGCCTTGGTTCGCGCCCTCAAGGAGCACAAAATCCACCCCGGAGTTTCCTGTAGAGTCCCCGAAGCTTCGCATCCTCAGTGGCTGGGCTGCAACGCGCTGCTTCTGCGCTGTAGAGATTAGTTCAGGGCATCGTGCTCACCCGTGAGCAGGCTGTGTTGCTAAGTCGCCAGGTCCCTTGCTTTTGAAATTTTCAAAAACAATACTTTCACCTCTACGTGGCAAAGCCGTCCTGAGGAGGAAGGCGGATTCTGAATTCCGCTGGAGGCAGAAGGGGAGGGGCGCAGCCACTTCGAGGGAGTTTGGAAGCCAACACGTTCACAGAACTTCACGGAGCAGGAAATCGTCTGCCAACCCCATCGCACAGCTGGTGAGCGGCTTGCAGAAGGGTGTACGCAAGGTAGATGGCAACTCGATCAGAGCTCTGCCGCCTTTGTCCTCGCACTTACGTTACTCGGCCTGCCCACGTCCTGGCTGCCTGATAAATAGTATCCCCGACCCCCTTGCAGTGTTTTCTGTTGGTTTGGGCATTACCTCGTTCTTGCCGCCCTCTTAGGAGAACAGAACTTTCAGCCAAGGGTCGAATGCAGTGGTGTGCTGGTAAATGTTTAACAACCAGCTCTCCAGAAAGAAACATGCAAATAAAATGTGGAATGCCTAAAAAGACCTCATAAGCATTATAAATTGTATTTGTATTGATGTCTGGGACGTGCAGCACACAACTACACATAACAAAATGTACAGTCCTCTTTATTATAACTCCATACAGCCAATTGGTTAATGCTTTTGTTGATTTTTGACAAACACTTGAAGCCAACCTATGGTTGTAATTGGCAAACAAGTGTCATTCCAACACGAATGTTGGTTGATACTTTCATTTACGTTTTTGAGCAAGACAAAAGTGAAACAAAGATGTGGGTACACTGAAACATCAAATGCAGACATCAGAACTTTATTCATACATGGATAACATGGGCCCTTTCTTTGCTGAATTGGATGATAGTTTTCAAATACCAGATTTCCTCAGTTTTTTTGTGTGCTGTTCACAATGTGATGGCTACAGATATGACACACTTTAAATTTAAGTCACATTGTTAAAATTGCCTTCATCCCTTTCTTACGTCTAGAGCCTAGACTAAAATGAAGAAACTAGACCAACCCCTGATTGATGGCTCTTGCTGATTACCACGGTGAAATACTCCCATCAGGGTCACTCATTAGGAGTTGGAAGGAGATGGGCAGGGAGCAGCAATTTGACGAGAATGGCAACATGATGGTAACGAAAGCTGGATGTGGGGTGATGGATACATGGCACGGGGAAGGGAGGAGGGGAGTCCATGGTGCTAAATGTTTTGAGTATGTGTGAGGATTTGCATAACAAAGATTTTTAAATGGTCTCCAAACACATAAAGCAAAGTTGATAGAACTATAGAGGTGCATTGACAAATCCAGCATCATAATGGAGGCTTTCAGCACAGCTCCCAGTTATAAATAGCTCTAACCATCAAGCGCTTGATGTCATGGCCATAAGTAAAACTTGGCACCCAACAACTAGAAAATATAAAATCTTTTGAAACATACATGGAACATTTATAAAAACTTTTCATATACCATAGGCCATGAAGCAACTATCAACACAGTTCAAAGAATCTGTACCATAGAGACTGTGTTCTTGGGACACAATGCAATTGCGGTAGCATTCAATAAAAGAAAGACAAATAAAACTTAAAATATTTGAAGTTTTTAAAATGCATTCTAAATAACCCATAGGTCAAAGAAGAGCTGTATGATAATGAGTCAAAACTTGTGAAATGCACAAAAACAGCACTCGGAGATCAATTTCTAGTCTTAAATGCTTCTTTTACGTAATGACAAAGTCAAAAATATGTAGAGACACGTATCTCTAAGTAAAAAGGATTCGTTTTGGAAGAATATGCAAGAAGTAGGATTGTAATCCTAACTGACATACATATAGACCAGGGTGTCTGTCCCTATTGTATCTGAAATACAAAGAGAGGTTTGGGGGGTTCATTAGAAAGATAAATGTTATGTATTGGGTTTTGAAAGAAAACACTGATGCTAGGAACTTTTTGGAAACTGGCAAGCTCTAGGGGGTGAATGCCGAGGGCAGGAAAACTGGCCTGAGAGCCCTGGCGTGTGGCATCGGCGGCTGCGGGGCAAAACTGGTCTCGGGTCACCGCAGGCGGTTTCGGCAGCTGGCTGGAGAGCCAGCCCCGGGCAGGCACTTTGCGCTCTTTTCTCCCCCCTGGTCTCTTGACTCTAATTAGTTGGGTATGACAAGATGACTCTCATTTATATAATCAACTTATACAATAAGACTGAAATTTTGTGAGCACAGTACACATC